AAGATCTATTACTCATATAAGTTTGGTGTCTTCATCTTTTACCGTTTCTGAGATATGACTCGGACAAAACTTTTTTGAAAAAAGCGGAAATCGGACATAACTGACGACCGGAAGTGAATTTTGAAAAAATGAAAAAAACGCCTGAGCGTATTTTCATTCTCTATCATCCCTGAAAATTTCAGGAAAATCCGTCCAGCCATCTCTGAGAAATCCGATTTACAAGAAAAGGGGAAAAAAAAAATAATAAAAAGAAACAGTAGAATCACTATAAGGTCTTCCGTCTGAAACGGAAGACCTTAATAAAATTGTAACGGGGACCGTTCACGGCAAAATATGGATGTTCCAAAATAATCCCCAACTCCCTTTTGGTGCCATATTCCCTATAAGCTTCATTAAATAAGACAGGTCTGATGTTTGATTGAGATTTAAAACGTTTACCCAGAAGTGTAAAATTTCATTCAAATTTTAGCATGCACATTTTCGCATGTGAATGCATTGCAGTAATGACCATATAATCTTGTCTTTACAATCTATAGATTTTAATATACTAAATATCAAAGTATTTAATCCAAAGTATTGAAAAATTCGCTAATTCAAGTGTATTTTTGATTTTATTCATTTCAAGTGCACGATATATACAAGATCACATAATGCTATGCGACCAATTTTCTTTCTAGAAGTCCATTACATTTTTTTATCTATGTTATAAATTCCGTTTGGTTGAAAACAAGGGAGTTAATAGCTGTTCAAAGTTTCAGAATCAGACATCAGCGCACGTACATGCACGTGTTTGCATGAAACTTTTGACCATGCCTTCTTGTAGAAGTCCATTATATCTATCCATGTTCCAAATCCCATCCTGTTTGGTTGAAAACCAAGGGAGTTATAGCTATTTAAAGCATAAGCCAATCAGATTGCAAATGCATGCACGCGTTTTCAATGTAATTACTATATATCTTATTGTAGGATTCCTAATACATGCCTATGTTTAAAATTTCAAAGGATTTTACAGTTTTCAAAAAAAGAAAGATATTGAGATTTAGTTTCACACAATCAGATATGTTTTGACACGTGCATTTACGTGAAATCTTGCTTTTTTGACCATGTCAGGTTTATCTATGCTTCTAATATATACTTCTAATAGTAGTTTTAAAGCATATCATCAATAATTTTAATAGTTACGTCTGTATCAATTATATTGGACATTTCTCGTGTTGCACGTACAAGCTCTTGCAAGCACACGTGCATGCACAAATTTCATGATATTTTTTTATTACGGGCTGTAAGAAAATGTATGTCTTTTTGACTATGTTCAAAATTTCAAATGATTTTATCAAAAAACAAGAAAGATATTGAGACTTTAGTTTCAGCCAATCAGAGCGAAGCGCACGTTTGCTTTATCAAATCGTGAAAAAAATGCTATTTTGACCATGTCATCTTGTGCATACTAGGGGCTTTATATCTTATGCCATGAGTTTCAAAACATTTCGTCTAAAAATAGAAAAGTTACAAAGAAATATCCATTATATATTGGTAATTTCAAGTTTTGCACGTGCGCGCTCTTGCAAGCACGTGCGCGCAAAATGACCTTGATTCCGCAATTCTACATAACATGCCTACTTACCCTAAAAAGGTTTCCCCTTAATCGGATGTGTACTTTACAAGATCATTCGCGGACAAAATTTTCCCGAGAAGAAAAATAATAATAATAATAACTAGAAACTCTTGTTGCTACAGCAACAAATAAGGTCTTCCGTTCTCCTCTTTTATCTGTAAGAAGAATATTTTTGTATTTAAAAAAAAAAAACAAAATACAAAAAAAAAAAAAAAAAATTACAATTCCTCCATCTGGTCTCGATCCCAAAACCATTAGTATGAAAGTCGGACACGCTAACCACTTAGCCACCAACTTCCACAACATTTCAGGTATTTTGTAAGCTTATTATTTTAAGGTTGAAGGAAATAGTTTCGAAGTGAAAGAAATAGTTTCGTAGTAAAGTCCCGGTCAAATTTCTTAAAAAACTGAGATATTGGCTGTTTGATGTGATATTGTATGTAGGAAAATGATTAGAATAATTATGGGACACATTTGCAGTGAAGCAATGACACTTAGCATATACAGAGTTGTAAAAGCGAAACTAATACACGTGGTCAGTTGCAGAGGAAATTCAAAATCCCGGAAAAACAGTGAGTGAGTCATGGGCATTTTTTCAACACCATATCGTATCAAGCGGGGTAACTGCAATTGACCTATCTCAATTGCGTGGAAATTTAATTGATATGAAAAATCGTCATTTCCGAGTTTCAGCCGATTCATATTTAAATCTAAATAAAATTAAAATAAATTCCATACACCTAAGAAAGCAAGAATACTTGGTATTAAAATGTCGTAATGGAGCAGGAGAATCGAATGATATTAACAATAATTGCAGAAATAGCCAATACGAGTTTTAATTAATTTTTATGCTAAGCAATAACTTAATTTCAGACAGAAAAAAAAATGCAGATTTTGCCGATATTCACTAGAATTTCAAAATACTTCAGAGACTCACCTTAAAACTCTCAGGACACTTTCTTTCAGGTCTCTTCTTTCTTTTATTACGAATCTTATGCCGATATTTCGTTTCGTTTGACTTGTAGACATTTTCTCTAAGTTGGTATTGATTGTTTTGTTTTGTTTTTTTTTTTTAGAGAAAGGAGGGGATATTTTATAAGCATTTGTTAGAGTAAGAGTTGCAAATACCTCCACGACCGTAAGCTTGATTGTGACCTTTGGGTCAATGGGGCCAAAGAACAAGGTCATTTATCAAGGTCAAAGGTCAAGGTCATCAGAGAGAGAGAGAGAGAGAGAGAGAGAGAGGTAAACTTGAGATAAACACTTGAAGCTGAATCTAGATAAAGGTAATGAATATTTCTTTATTACTTTTTGAGTAAGGGTCAAAGGTCTCATTTTGAGGTTTCTCTAGACATTTGCAGTCTGAATAACATGTCCCAAAATCATTTCAAATACTCTTTTTATAAAAGATATTTATGGGATAGTAAGAAACTCAATTTATGCAGTTTTTCTCTCATAACCGGAAGTCGTCGTTTTTGTTTCCAATGGGACTGACATATTTCGAAACTACTAGTAAGAAGCTATAAGGTAATTCTAAGAAAAGTTTAAATTTTTGATTTATTTGATCACTTCCTGTGACAACCGGAAGTGACGGTGGATGATCTTAAACTCAAAGGATTTGTCTACTCATCAAGGTCTACCACCCCTAGTAGTTTGGTGTCTTAATCTCTTACCGTTAACGAGATCTAGCAATGATAACTTCTGATTTTGAGGACAGGAAGTCACGCGACCGGAAGTGAATTTTACTGAGATATTAGACATTACTGTAGACATTTGCAGTCTGAATAACATATCCAAAAATCATTACAAATACTTTAACTATAAAAAGTATTTATGGGAAAGAAATATACTCAAATTACTGGGTATGTAGTTTTTCTCTTTTAACCGGAAGTTGTCGATTTTGTTTCCGGGGATACTATCATATTTCAAAACTACAAATAAGATGCTATAATGTGATGCAAAAAGTTTCTATAAAGAAAAGTTGAATTTTTCGATTTCTTTGATCACTTCCTGTGACAACCGGAAGTGACGGCGGACAATGTTATCCCAACTGGTTTTGCCTACTCATCAAGATCTACCACTTGAAACAGTTTGGTGTCTTAATCTCCTATCGTTTACGAGATCTAGCTATGATAAGTTCTCAACTTGAGGACAGAAAATCACGCGACCGGAAGTGAATTTAACAAAGATATTTGACCTTCCTGTAGACATTTGCAGTGTGAATTACATATCCAAAAATTGTTACAAATATTTCATGTATAAGAAATATTTAGGGGAAAGAAAAATACTAAAATTATGCAGTTTTTCTCTTAAAACCGGAAGTTGACGTTTTTGTTTCCGGTTGGACTGATATATTTTAAAAATACAAATAAGATGTTGTAACGTCATTCCAAAAAAGTTTCATAAAAGAAAATTTGAAAATTTTGATTTTTTGGAACACTTCCTGTGACGACCGGAAGTGACGGCGGACAATCTTATCCAAACTGAATTTGCCTACTCATCAAGATCTACCAATTGTATAAGTTTGGTGTCTTAATCTTTTTCCGTTTACGAGATCTAGCTATGATAAGTTCTCATTTTGAGGACAGGAAATCACGCGACCGGAAGTGAATTTTACAAAGATATTTGACGTTACTGTAGACATTTGCAGTCTGAATAACATATCCAAAAATCATTACAAATACTTTATCTATAAAAAATATTTATGGGAAAGAAAAATACTGAAAATATGCAGTTTTTCTCTTATAACCGGAAGTTGTCGTTTTTGTTTCCGGTGGGACTGATATATTTAGAAACTACAAATAAGATGCTGTAATGTGATGCTGAAAAAATTCAAAAAAGAAAAGTTGAAATTTTCGATTTCTTTGATCACTTCCTGTGACGACCGGAAGTAACGGCGGACAATCTTAACCCAAATGGTTTTGCCTACTTATCAAGATCTATTACTCATATAAGTTTGGTGTCTTCATCTCTTACCGTTTTTGAGATATGACTCGGACAACATTTTTTTGAAAAAAGCGAAAATCGGACATATCTGACGACCGGAAGTGAATTTTGAAAAACTGAAACCTGCATTTTAAAGATATTTTGACTCTCTATCATCCCTGAAAATTTCAAGAAAATCCGTCCAGCCATCTCTAAGGAATCCGATTTACACGAAAAGGGGGAAACAGAGTAAAAACAATATGTTCCCCAACTTCGTTTGGGGAACATAATAATAATAAGAAACAGAGTAAAAACAATATGTTCCCCAACTTCGTTTGGGGAACATAATAAGTCATTGATCTTGCTTCTGTCGTATTTTTTATCTTTTGGCATAAACCATACACAATTTTATCTATTTTATGACAAACAATTAACCATGCTAATGGGTTCTTCTTTTTAGGTCTTTGTATGGACACTTCAGACTGCCCTCGTCATTTAAGTAAATGCGACCTCTATGTTTACGGTGACTATTGCTTAAAAGTTCACTATGGTGACTATGACTGGGAAACTGCCAGAAAACTGTGCCTCAATGAGGGAGCTGATCTTGTACAACCAAGAACATCCGGTATACAGGAATATATCCGGGTCAGCTTACTGCCCCAGAAACAGAGATCCGAGGAAGACGGATTCTGGATTGGTGCGACGGATTTAAATTCTGAATCCCATTGGAGATGGGTGTCAGGTAACAACAAAAAATTCTCTAGTTGTCATTCTTCTCTTTTGATAATGTGGTTAACCAGAATCTGGATTCTCTTCAGGTGACCCCCGAATGCCGTACAGTAACTGGGAGTCAGGGCAAGGACCCTCTCAGTCTGGATTTCTGTTTGCCGCTGGAGATCTGGAGGACTGTGCATTAATGAAAATCCAGGACGGATTCCGTTGGCATGACTACCCATGTTCTAATTTCTTTTATCATTACTCATTTATATGCCAACACAGTAAGTAACTTCAACAATCATAGGGATTTAGTCATGATTAAATATAATTCTTAAATTTCTTAATTTGGCATGGCTTGAATCATTTCATTAAAGAAAAGATCCCACGCTCAACACAGGCAGCGCATTTCAATCACACTCACCCAAAGACTTCCAAGTATGTACCACCAACCACGACGAAATACGTCCCACCTACAACGACAAAATACGTTCCACCTACCACAACAAAATACGTTCCACCGACTACAACCAAATATGTTCCCCCAACTACAACAAAATACGTTCCACCGACCACAACCAAATACGTTCCTCCAACAACGACGAAATACGTTCCACCAATCACAACCAAATACGTTCCCCCGACTACAACAAAATTTGATCCAGAAACTTTTACGACGACAAGGTTTGTTCCTTGGACGGAGAAAACAACTATGCTTAGTGAGAAGACACGATCATCAACAGATCAGATGATGACAGACACACCATTACCTTCCACAACAATGAACACAAATACCCCTCTCCCATCCACTACGCCGGAAGAGCCATCAAAGTCGCCCTCCGCCCCTGATGGTTCTGGTGGTGATCCTTTCAGTGTCGGATTTGCATCTAGTGAGTTGAATTAAAATGAAATAGGTTTTTAATTAATCGGGTTTGATATCTACAACATAAATGCAATTACTTGAAAATAAATTTTGTATTTGTATTTCAGCCAGAAAACCACCCCCTTCTACCACAGAGGAGAAATCAGGAGTACTCATCATTGGATAAGATTTAGTGTTATTGAGTTTAACAATCTGAACCAAAATGCCTGAAAGATATTGTACCTTGTAGAGATTAATAAAACTGTATTGATATTATATTATGACTTGTTTAAAGAACTATTTCTATCACTGAGGAGAAACAAGACGTTCTCAGCTTTGGACACATTATCTGAGAGGTCGGCAGTGGATGCTCACTCCTCCATGGCACCTGATCCCACCTCTGATGTTTCGATGTTTGTGTTTGCTCTGCTCCAAACTTTGTATTGTTTCATGGACTTTTGAGCTTGAATACTGATCTTTATCTCCATGTATTTAGTTTGTATGATTATAAAACAAGAATATAACGAATTGAGATCAAATAGGGTAGACAAAACGCATCTTGAAGAGGGCATAAACACTGTCCCTGAAAACAAGAGGAGGTATAAGGTGCCTATGAGAAGTGTCTCCTGTCGATCCATCACACACATCATTAGCATTTGTTACTAATTATTATTAAATCTCTTCAATGCGACCCATTTTTTCGTTCAATGACTTAAGGGAGAAGTCAAATTTTTGTCATTCATATTTAACTCGCAACTAACCACACATATCGTAAGAGTTGTTTTAAAAAAAAATGCATTAGACAGTAATGTTCGAATATGATTTTTTAAAACTTTTTAATAACAAATTAGACAGTTAGAATAAATGAGAAAAAAACATTCCAGAATGATTAAGCAGTAAATGTTCTAGTTTTGTAATTGAGATCGATACCTTCAAAACTTTGCTTTGAGGAAAAAGTGGAATTTTTATTTTTCATACTCAAACTTTGGAACTATCATATACTGTATGCATATTTAAAAAGCTCAGGGAGGTAATTTTGTTAGTGTGCCTTTTAAAACATGATTTTGATATAAATCTTTCGTGTAAGGGATACTTTATTTTGATGAAGGCATAGTACCGATGCTATTCTTTTGCGTTAAAGATCTATATTAGATGGGTCTTTGATCCCTTTGTTATGCTTTCAAACCAGCAAGTACAATCAAAAGATAGCAGGAACTGAGTGCAATATTTCAGTGGGAATGACTTTTACTGATAAACAATGAACTATCTTTCGTAATAGTAAGATACTCAGTAGCGGAACATACTTTAAGTCATTCCTGATGAACATGGATCAATATCTCTGCTTTTTATTCATTTCACTGATCAAGATTGGTAAGTACATATCGTTGATATTAAAAAGAAAACAAATAGTAGATCTTTTTGTAATTCCATCTTGAATTTAATATTTCTTAAAATATATGAGCAAATAAAATGAGTCATCTTGGTTCTTAACATTACATTCACAAAACTCCTGGGAAAAAAAAGAACAGAACTTTTTTTCAGAATTTTAAATTTACGTCTTCGGTACAAATGTAGGTGCCTTTGCTGGCTATAGAGCACGGACTTTCGGTAGTAATATTCATGATTTTGATAAATGTTATAATGTCTTATCAGTAATTTTTTCTGATAATGGTAGATTTTTGTCTTCAGTCTGGCATTACTTTTCGGGATCTTATCATTAACAAGCAGCTGTCAAAGATCCCAATTTAGGATAGGAAGAGTGTCGGCCATGTTTTTGAACAAAAGAAAAGAGACCAATTATTGTCAAGCGATTATTAAATTATAATTTTCTTGAAGTTCATAGTTTGCCCGCTGACAACTGTCCGTCACATCTGAGTAAAAGCGACCTGTATACATACGGGGATTTTTGTCTGAAGGTGCATTATGGGAACTACGACTGGGATGACGCAAGACACAAGTGTCGTCAAGAGGGCGGAGACTTAGTTCAGATCCGGGATTCTGGGATGCAGCATTTTCTCCAAAGAGTTTTGTCAGGTCAAAGGTCAGAGGAGGACGGGTTCTGGATTGGGGCCAGCGATAGGGACTCAGAATCACATTGGAAATGGGTCTCAGGTGAGGTATAGGTACTCAAGGATCTAATTAGGAACAAATACTATATAGTAATTAACATTACTGGCTTTTGAATCAAACTAAATAAAAAATAATCTATGTATTATCTTGACTTGAGTTTAACTGAAAAGTATTGCAACAAGGACGTAAAATTTTATTTTAACTAATTTAATTTACCTTCTATTGAGGTGACTTCAAAAAGAGTGCCATAAGTGCCACACGCAGTTTTTTCGATTACATTTTTCCCCACATTATAAAATATTTGGCAGGTGATCCTAGAATGAGCTACAGTAATTGGGAGTCTGGACAGGGACCATCTCAAAGTGGCTTTTTCCTCGCCAGTGGAACCATTGAAGACTGCGCTCTTATGAGAGTAGACAGTGGATTTAGATGGCACGATTATGACTGTAGCAGTATATTCTACCATTATTCATTCATCTGTCAATACAGTAAGAAAATTTAAAATGATATTCCCGTTGTTGACAAAAATACTTTTTCCAACAGCAAAATGCTATATTCATCAATGAAAAATGTCTTATTAATGGCCCTTAATTTCAACATAAATATAGGCAAACTGCATCATACTACACCAGGAAACCATCACACCGATAGAACAACAAGTAAACCGCAAGGGTCTACCACAGTATTTATAAACCTAACTTCTCCCGACACCACGCCCTTCATACCCGACACCACAATATACTCCACACCACCGAAGACTGATGCTCCAATAGACACAACCCCACCCCCTACAGACGCCCCAGTACCCACAACACCACCTGAAACTGACGCCCCTCTCTCCTACCACGGACATGTTTACACAAGCCCCGTTTCCTACCACCATGTTGCCAAAGACCACGCCTCAACCTAGTGAGTAGAATTGTCAGACCATTAATAGCCATTCTCTGTAACCACTTAAACTTCGTTGCCATGCATGGTCACCGATTTTGATGAAACTTCACCCATGCTTAGTACTTGACATCAGAAACAAATATCAAACAAAATTTCGTTGCTGTGTGTCTCGGTTGCTATGGTAACAGCCGGAAAAGTTTGAAAAATCGAGATTTTCAGCCACTTTAGATCTTGACTGTGGCTTAATAAAAATTAGAAAAAGCAAACAAACCATTCTCACAAAAACATGACACCGTGATGTCACTTATACTGTAAAGAAACTGTTTAGAATATATCTCTAAGTAAGTGGTAACCTAGGGTACATTTGGAATACATTTAAAATGCTGAAATATGCTGAAAAACACTCCGTATTCACTAATGGTAGGTGTTACATGCTCAAACTCAATCAACGACTTAAGAAAAACAATGAAAATGTTTTACCTTAAGTATATAAGTATAAGCAGTATTATTCTATAAATAACATTTATGGTTGCCATGGTAACACAGTGTAACCATGCAAAACCAGTAACTAAGATTGGGTTAATGCTACTGTCTTGAGAAAAAACATGAAAATTCAAGACTGGCAAATATGCGTCCTTAGGAACTTGCAACACCAAAACCATAAGAAAAATTGGGTATAATTGCTACTTTGCAGTGTTACCATGGAAACAAAGTACCAGTGCTTAAAAGTGAATTATTTTTCGCTGCATTAAGAAGTAAATTGCCATTTAATCAAGAAACAAATTAAAGGACTCAGCTTGAATAGTACTTATCTGATAGAACTGAAGTTGAATATCATATATTGCTAAAATTTGATGAATAAAACAACACTGTTGCTATGGTTACCAAGAAGGGAAAATGTTCGATTTTGTGAACTTTATATCAAATATTAAACCCTGTGTGCCAACTTCTTGCATCCACTTAGAGATTGGATGATAGTCAAAATTAAAAGTCAAGTTAGCTGTTAATTAATATCAATCATAAAAGTTTTGGGAATCTACATTTAAGGGTACGTATCCAAGGAAAGAAAATATTTTTCAGGTTTTTTAAGCATATATTTTCTGCTTATTTCCATAGCAACGCTCTATTTAAAAAATCTAATCTGATTTTTTTCAAATGGGAAAACTTGGACCAAACCAACATCTTATAAAATTGATCATTAGTTA